CCCATATGCTACTCTAATGATATATATATGTCATTTTACATTAGTCCAAACCCGTAGAATATAGAACAGGTAGAAAGATTCCTAGTTTAAATTATGGACTGTAAGTGATAATAATGTATCAATGTAGGCTTATTGATTGTAAAAAAAATCTATTTCTGGTGGGGGATGTACCATTCTGGAGGAGACACTGTATAATGGGAGCAGTAGTTATCTGGGAAATCTCTGTACTTTCTGATCAGTTTTGCCGTGAATGTAAAACTCCTCAAAAAGATATTAAAACAAAGAGGGCTCTGTACCTTTATCTCACACTGGGTCTCACAAATCTATAGTTGAGGCCCTCCTGTTAATAAAGAGTGACCCAGGACTACAGTGTCTAAAGTTGAGATCAGTTATTCTAAATCAGAGCAGAAGGATGGATTTAAAACTGCAGTGTCTTTTCCCTAGAGTGAAGAAAAAAAATCTAGTATTCAGTGTGTTTGACTATGTAGGAAATGTTGAGTCCTGTCAGAAAGCAAATGGCTTAATAAATGATAGCTATTTATTTAAAAAAAAGAAATAAAAGAGATAAAGGTAACTGTAGGAAACACAAATGCTATTTCTTTTGTTACACAACAAATAAGAGAAATGTAACCATGGTTCCTGACATCCTTGCTACAAAGGGTAGTCGGAGGGCCAGTGGCACTGGCATCATTTGAGATATTTTTAGATATCCAGTATCTCAAGTCTCATTAAAGATTTACTTAGTCAGAATCTTCAAAAGTACACCAGGAAAATCTTGATAAAATATAGACTCTGATTCAAATTTCAGGGAGTTCCCCTAACTGAAAACCTGCCAGGTGAGGCTGATGCTGCTGTCTGCTCTCAGAACTAATCAACATTTCTTAGCTGTTAACCATATGTTTAAAGACAGACACAGAAACATAAGCATCAAGCATTGATTTATCTCTGTGGCAAACAGTAATGGTAGGTTAAATAGAGGGAAATACATATGTGGGTGTGGTGTAAGAGCTTATAGATATCTTATTTTGCACAGAAGAACATCACTCATTTCTAAAATAGAAAAAGTGTTTTTTTATATTAAGACCAATTATTTAATCAAATGTTAACATAGACATCTTGAAGACTTAATCAAATATCAATATAAGAGTTCAAAAATTACCTTCTCTGCATTTTTGCCATTAATCATTATTTAAATCTATGAAATTTTACACCAAAGAAATCTATGACAAAGAAAGATTTGCAAATTAATAATACACCTTTGAAAAACATTTTATTTTTTTAATGTTTATTTATTTTTGAGATAGAGACAGACAGAGCACAAGTTGGGAGAGGGTCAGAGAGAGAGGGAGACACAGAATCTGAAGAAGGCTGCAGGCTCTGAGCTGTCAGCACAGAGCCTGATGCAGGGCTTGAACTCATGAACCGTGAGATCATGAACTAAGCCAAAGTCGGATGCTCAGCTGACTAAGACACCCAGATGTCCCTGAAAAAGTTCGGTTGCATCTTATAGATTAAAGTATAAATAATGTAAACTATATGTTATGTTCTATATTTGGTTTTGGATTTTCTAGGAAAAAAAGTGTCATAAATGCCATGTGATTTTGGAAGCATGAATGTATATATGAAAATAATACATATATAAGAAAATTATTATTTGACTATTATATCTGATTAAAACATAGTGTGAACGCTGAGATCTAGCTATACTAACAATAAAAGGGCTTAGTCCAATAGTATAAGTTAAAACAGCATTAGCTTTTAATTTAAATAGAATTAGATAGTGTGTGGTTATGTTTATTGTCAACATATATGTATTTAAATTCATTTTGTTATTATAAAGAGACAAAATATTAAAGTACTTTGAACAAAATAAGATTCCTCCTCATTTTCAGGTCTCTGGCTTTTCCAGGGACATCCAAACATGTGTAACTTCTTTTGCTTGGCAAGAGAATAAGAAAAATTATAACATGTTTTAAGGCAAAAGTTCTGTATTGGTACAAATCCAAATTTTTGGGAAGTTCCAGACGTTTCAGATTAAGTACTCTTTGAACAATAATAACAACAACAACAAAAACAATAAAAACAAGAGCAACAAAAATCCACATGGCCCAGAATGGAGCAATAAAACGTTTCCTTTCAGCTTTGTTTGCTTTATGCATCCATTAGCAAAACTCTTACCACACAAGAAGCACAATGCATTTTTATCCCTTTTTTGCTAAGCAATGAAAGTAAAACTGAAAGATACACAATTTTCACTCTACATTCTTCCTTTGACATTTTCTGCATTAAGCTGAAATGAATGTAAACAAACACAGATGTCCATAATCATAATGTCAAAATATGTTTTCATTAATTCTTCTCTAAGGGAAATTATGTTGCACATTATAGTGTGTGATGATGAAAAGTATACATTCCTTGAACGTGTCCTGTAAAACCCCTTGGGCTCCAACATTCTTTGAAATGAAGCATTATCTTTAAAACATGACTTCATGTAAACAGTTTGACAGAGGAAATTTTCCAAAATAAGTGATGAGACTTTTTCTTTTTAAGTAAGTTTTGACCTAATCACTCTTTCTCTGACTAATCTGCTGACTACTCAGGAACCCTAAAAACTTTACTCCAATGCAAATATTTCACAATAAAAGCATTTGTGGTATTTTGTTATTTTATATTCCCAGTTAAATATTAGACTTTCAGATCTGTGACTCCTATGTCTTAGAATACTTCACACGCTTCTATAAATAAACCTCTACTGAGAAACATGATACTTTGTAATTTTGTAGTTGTTGATGATGTTATTGTAACTATTATTTTTCAGTAAAATATGAGAAAATGGGACCCTTAATGTTTAATAAATATTATCTGCTTTGTTTTCAGTCTCTGTTTATAAAATTTTTCAAATTGTTTAGATAATTGTAGAAAAATACCAAGAATGACCCAAATATCACTGCTATTTGTATCAGTGACTAATTATAAGGCCTTTAGTTTCCACCTGTATGCTACAAAGCATCACTGAGCTTTGTCATTTTGGAGTCTATGGAACAAGTACTCTTCTGTAACTCCATCTCCATCTCTTCATCTCATAACTACATCATGCCCTTCATTGCCAGTACTCTCTCCATGACAACACAGATTCAGCTTATGTCATTACACTCCACTAGTATCACAAAAACTCTACACCTTTGTCAGGTGTGGAAAGGGTTTTTTGCACAGCCGTGTTACACATGGCCATCGGTGCCTGAAGCAACAGTGTTTCTTCCAAGATCAGCAACCTGAAACCATATAAGCAAGAAAGATGAGATACTGAAAACAGCACTGGAGGATGGGACTGGAGCTACAATCCAATTACAAATCACTGAATCCTACTTTTTATCTATTTATGTCTATTCACTATTTATGGAAAACATGAATAAAAGGATAAGTTAACATGTAATTTTAATTATGAAAATAATAATTATTCACAATGTTCATGTTACTACTGAGACAATAGATTATTGTTACCCCTATAGACTTACCCATCTATATAGAATTATCTTAATGAAGTTGTCTTTCCAAAATTGATGGTTTCCAATTGTGATGAGCTGTAACAATAAAGAATTTGTCTTTCTCTTCTAGAATATTCCTCCATAGTCTTGTCTCTCCTAATACTACAAAAGAATGAATATAAATTTCAAAAATGTCTATCAGAATCAAGTGAAAATAAAGACAAAAATCAAAGTCTCATTTGAAATTTAAGAATCACCACTTTATTTTTTCACTGAGGCAATATTTTCTATTTATTTCCTAACAAAACAAGTATACAACTTTAATTAATGGGTTATTGTGCTATGAGCCATCAATTTAGACATTCACTCTTGTTTATTAAAACACATGGATAATAAAGTATTTGTGAGCTTAATTTTCAAGGCACTTTCAGGCTTACAGAGTGGTAGTGATTGTAATGGTGATGATGATGGTGAGAGTGGCGGTGGTGCTGATGTGATTTTGTTACATGTCATCAGATAAGGTAGAGGTGCCACTAAGGCACCTCTTCCTTTCACTCACTTTAACTTGTTGAGTTGAAGATACCATGGACTTTTAAAAAATTGATAGTGCAAATAACCTAATTGTCCCCTGATTTTTAGTGTATCAATAAACATAGAGTGAATAAGATGTTTAAAAAATACTTGTGAATGAGGTGTTCAGAAATATGCAAATTTAAATTGTATAGTGATTAGATTTCTTCTAAAACTAGAATCTCTGAATTCACAAACAATTGCACCACTTACGTGCTTTGTGACTCTTAAACAAGATACTTAACACCTATGGACTTAAATTTCACCATCTCTAAAAAGTTGATGATAATAGTATCTGATACATTGGTTTCATGATATAATTAAGTAAAATGAGCCATATATAAGGGGAATAACCCAGTTTCAAAACATATTAACTATTAAACATTGCTGTAATTGCTCATAGTATTAATGCTGTTTTATTTTTGTTATTATGAAAAAATCATATGATCATATGAATATATGCCGAAAAGCATTTGCCAAAATCCAATGCGCATATGTAATAAAACTAACAATAGAGAATGTAGGCAGGGCACCTTGCCACTTCCTCAATTTGTTAAAAACATCTACCAAAAAAACTCTATAGCTAGCATCATATTTAATTTGAGAAGCTGGAAGCTAGTCTATTGAATATAAGGAAAAACACAGAAGTGTCCACGCACTACTCTTTTTTTAATATCATACTGAATGTTAATGCTATGAGACAAGAAAAGGAATAAAACTTGCACAGATTTAGAGAAAGAAATAAAACTGTCTTTGTCCACAGATGACAAATATCCATGTAGAAAATCTCAAACAACAAAAATATCCTGGAACAAACAAGCAATAATAGCAAGATTGTAGGATACAAAGTGTATAATAAAGTTAATTACCTCATATGTTATCAATAAATAAGTTGACGTTGAAATTAAAAAGACAGCACCACTCATATTACCACAAAAAATTAAATCTGCACATTGTTAGATCTTGGAGTGACGTCGCTGGCTAGCTGATGAACTTGCAAGTGTAGATACTATGCTATATGAGGGGCCAGTCTTTTGCAACAGCACAAGGGTCTCTGGCCCAATGAGTGGAGTTTGATAGTAATGTTTGCGCTAAGTTAATTTTTTTTTAAAAAAGGGAAGAAGAAAAAAATTAAAAATTGAAAACAATTTAAAAATTTTTTTAAATGAAATACTTAGGCATATATCTGGCAAAATATGTATGAAATATATCTGTGGAAATCTACAGAGTTCTAAAGAAAAAATAAAAGAAACTCAGAAAATTTTTAAAAAACAAAGGCAAGCAACTTGCATACTTAGTCTCTTCATGGAACTTTATTTTCATGGAAAATAAAATGAAAAAAAATAACCTCTTATTAGTATTCTATTTTAGAAAGCAAGAAAACCATTAATCTAGGAGAGACCTGTGAAATGTACCTTTTATTATCACTACAATTCTCAATTTAATGTGTTCATACATTTCCTTTTTATGACAGAAATTAGCATTAGGAAATCACTTTTCTTTAATTACTAAGTAGCGCCTCAGGTAAAAAGAATTACATTTCCTGTGATAAGAGTTCAATGGGGAAAAGAAAACATTTATGCTAATAACAGTTTAAGTCTTCAATCCATAGTGCTCTCACAGTCAGGAAAAATAGTTTTAAGCCTTCAGCAAAAAGATGAATCATCAACAAAATCAGCAACTAAATTTTAGAACTAGAATTCATTACAACTATAGCAAAACCTGTATTTGAATATTCAACTGGTTTCTCTTTTTTCACAAATGTTTATACTCTCTTCTCTTCCTTATTCTTTCCAAGGCTAAAAATCAAATCCATTGAACCTGCCAAAACTATTATTCCTGATATTATTTATAGAGGAATAATTCAAAACCCCATGGCTATAACTGATTTTTGTGAGACACCGAGCTGTTGCAAAAAAGGAGCACTATCTAAATATTGCTTCAGTCCAATATTTAACAGGGTTTCCCAAATGACCACCTATAGAATAGGAAAATGAAATACTAAAGGGAATTTTATTTAGACATCATAATGTGATATTGAACACATAGTTAATACATATTAAAATTTTTTAAATTGAAGTTTTGGCTGGGCTGAGTAGTTGCTCAAGCTATTCACATGTTATTTTCTGTAAACTAATACCATTCAAACAATGACTATGAACTGCTAGAGAATGTTTAGGCCAGATGCCATGGGTGAAGGAGGCAGATAGAAACAAACAAAAAATCTTTTGTTTCTCCAGATAATGGTTTTCTTTTTTACTGAAGTATTCTACTAGTAATCATTACTTTGTCATTTTTCACTTGTAGAAAGAACAGGTCCCATTTTACCCATAACTATATTTTTGATTGATTTTGTTTCCAAGCACAATGCTAAATCATGGATGCTAAATCATGGAGTTGTGTAGACCAATAAAGACTAATTAAAAAAAAAAAACAAACAAAAAAACACCTGCACTGTAAGAACTAAAGTGAGGCATAGACACAAACATAAGGTAAAATGTAAGCTAATGGAAGCAATATGTCATATTGTTTAAGATGTTTGAATATTTCATCAAACTGCCTGAATTGGAATCCTTACTCTGCCACTTGATAGTTGTATATCTTTGGGCAAGGGTACAAACTTTCTAGGCCTCAGTTCCTCATTGCAGTAATGGGAATAACTATTTCTCATTTCATAGAGACATTGTGAATTAATGAAATAGCATTGTAATGTAAGTTCTAAGAACAGTCTCTGGAACATTGTAAGTGTTTATTTTTTATGATGCTTTGGTCTGAATATAACTGAAAACTCATTAAAGTCAAAAGAGAAAATACAGAGGTAAGATAAGCTTTAGGGTTGATTGAAATAATAATTCAGTGATGAAGTAAAACATTTTTTTTCTCGTTTCTTGTTGAAAGTGATACAGTTCTACTCACTGCAGAGCTGGCAAAGGCAAGTAAGATAGAGAGCCAAAATTACCTGGAACTTAGAATTGCATTGCTGATACACAATGGGAATAAAAAGTATATGACAATAATAATAATGATAATAGGCATTCAACCACAATATCATTATAGGAGATAGATATAGAACACTAAAAATATATCAAGAAGGAGAAAGTATTGCATTGGCAGTTTGCGAAATAAATTGGGAAAGTGTTATCAAAATATGAACTGAGATTAGAAGAAAGGTCTGAGAATTTCAAACTGATAGAATAAGTGAAAGATATAGTCATGAATGTTACAATATGCAAAATCATGTAGACATTTAAAACAAGTATATCATTTATTTACGTCATAAGTTGGATATTTTAAAGGAATAAAACTTACACAAAGGCATAATTAATAATTTCCGTTCTCACCTCATCTTAAGTAACAGAATCAAATTGTCTTTCCATTACATATTCTTGAATCTCCAAGATTACACAATGCCAAATTACTTTTTATTCTCTTCATTTTTTACTATTTAGCCCAATTCTTCCGTTTAGTTAAATAGGTCATAAGCACTTTTTCAAGGTAATTTTAGTTAATAAAAGTCTATCTTATGAACAAAGTAAAGATAAGTTGTGATTTCTCCCTTTCTTCTGTATCCTTACTGCTCTAATTTTTCTTACATACTCAATTCTACAAAGTCAAAAAAGGAAAGAAAAATTATTAATCACCATAGTATTGGTGAGGACAAAATATTGGACCATTTTTCTCATTAAACCAAAATGTTTTATGGATTGATTCTAATCAACATTAAGCTAATTTTCGTCATATTTCAGCACAGATTTATTGATTTTCCTCAAGTAATATCTATAGCAAAATACTGTATTATAGTTTTGTAACCAAATGATTAGGTTTTTAATTTTTGGCTTGCAATTTATAAGTTGAATAACGTTGACTAAGTGATTTAAAATTCCTGGGTCATTTCCAAAAATATTAATGTATATAATAAACCTTTCTAACTACCTTGCAGGATTAAAATAAGGATAAAATTTATTTAAAAATATTAAAGTAATATTATTATATCAATAAAATAATAGTATGATTCTAAGTAATCCAGTTAATATACTGACAAGCATTTAAGATAAATACGAATGCATTTCTTGAATTTTCTAGGTGGAAAGTAAGTAACTCAGAAATTTTCAAGAAAGTAATCAGAGTAAATTGCTGATCTGCCGTTATGGATGGATACAGATGTCTCTTCCTACAAGAAGCAGGCCCATCTGGGTATACTGCAGCTTCACTGCTCTGTGAAAGCTTCCTGCTGAACACAACACAGCTAACTCTAGAGCAAATTGAATAAGTATGTATTCATCTTCAAGTATGCTAGCCATTTATTTTGCTGTCAGGAAATGTTTTTATTTGTTGTTGTTGAGTTTCACATCCCTAGTAATTTTATTGCACATTTAGGCGAGAAATCATTAGCCACTCTTCTATATGGTTGAGTGCTTTGACAAGCAAACTGAAACTTGGAAATCATGTCATATTCTCTGAGTTATGTGCTCTGAACAACCGTGAACGAAAGATATTCTAATGAGGATTCATTCATGCACAAAATTTGTTAAGTATAACGGCTTACACTTAAACCTATTATGTGAGAGTCATAGTTCTTTATAATTCTTATTTTAAAAATAACCAATATAGTAATGGAATCTCAAAATATTTAAAGAAGATTTGCGTGGAATTCATTTTACATTGTTCAGGTCAGAACTAGTAAAATCTATAAAAGGTTAATTCTGTATTAATAGAGCTGTGAATCTGTCTTCCTTTGTTTTCTCTCCATAGTTCTGCCCTGAGATATACCACACTTTGTCTCCTTGTTGATATTGACTCTTGAATCTGCCTCCTACCTCAAGGCCTTTCCAAGTATATGCTGGCCAAAAATCAAACATTTAAGGTTGGGAGGAATATCAAACAGCTTTCTTAAATCTCCCTGTGCTTAAAGTGGCACTGCTGCTCACTGTCCTGCATAAAAACAAGGCCCTCACACATACATAATGATCATGATTGATATCTTCAGGCTTCATCCATTGGCCTCCTCTGTAATGTAAGTTATTATAGCTTCCAGGAGCTTTTGTAATACTGTACTCTCTTCTGGCTTACAAAAATGTACTCTTGTTATATTTCTTATACCTATTCTTATATACTTTTTGCATTTGGATGGTAAGATAGTTACTTTCCAGTGGCAGTTGATTGCGCTAAGGGACTAATAGCTGGTAAAACATTATTTCTGGGTATGTCTTCAAGAGAAATTAGCATTTGAATCAGTAGACTGAGTAAAGAGATCTATCTCTATCAAAGCAGAGTTTGGGTTGGGGACATCAGCCATCCACTGAGGACGGGAACAGAACAAAAAGGTAGAAGAAGAGCAAGTTTTTTCTTTCTCTTGAGCTGGGATATCCATCCTTACCAGCCTTCTGACATCAGAACTTCTGGCTCTCAGGCCTTTGGATTCCTTTGTACTTGGGATTTATACTAGTTTCCACCACCCCACAAAATTCTCAGGTCTTCGGGCTTGGACTGAATTACACTACCAGCTTTCTTTGTTCTCCAGCTTACAAATGACAGATAATGAAACTTCTTAGCCTCCATAATTACAAGAGTCAATTGCATTAAAAATCACCTCATATATCTATATCTATCATATTGGTTCTGTTTCTCCACAGAACCCTGACTAGCAGGTATGGTATTATTCTCAGGTACAATAACTTTTGCACAGTTCCTCTGGTTTCAAATACTTCATGTATATAACTTCATGACAGAACAGATTCTGTGTTTAAACCACTTTCCTGAACTTCAGAATTTTATTTCAGATGTATTCCTCATTTGAGTAGCATGCCCTGTAGAGTTCTGTTGCAGAGAACATAACGCTCCTGCTGGTTTGAGTAGAATGAGCTCTTCTAATTGTTAGGAAGACAAAAGACTGCTTCATTACTCAGTATCCATTAGTTGATAAAGCTTTTGGATTTTACTTTTAAATGTTTTTTATATATTGTTGCTCATATAAGTGATCATAATTCTGATCTATAAAACTTATTCTCAGTCTGTTAAAATACTAGTCAGATTGTGCATAACTTTTACCTGTTTCTAAAACATGTTTCATATTTCAAAATGTATACATGACTGTTACTTTCCTGTGGAAAACACATGTACAAAACAATGGGGAGGGGGCACCTGGGTGGCTCAGTCGGTTAGGCATCCAACTTCGGCTCAGGTCATGATCTCACAGTTGGTGGGTTCGAGCCCCATGTCAGAATCTGTGCTAACAGCTAGCTCAGACCTTGGAGCCTGTTTCAGATTCTGTATCTTCCTCTCTCTCTGACCCTCCCCTGTTCACACTGTCTTTCTCTCTCTCTCGGAAAAAAAAAAAAAAAAAAAACAATTAAAAAAACAAAAACCAATGGGGAGGTAGGACTGTCTTTTAGAGCCATGATTAAATTCATGTTCTAACTTTGGCATGTTTATTAGTTGAGATTCATTGTAAGAATTGAAAAGTAATGTATTCAGTTGCTAAACAACTACCTTCAAGAAAAAAGTTATCATGATTTCAGACTTGTATGCCAAGTTGCTTAAATATTTATCATAATTTATTTTTAAAAAGGAAATAACTATTCATTTTCCTTATAGCTGCCCTGATCCCCACTTCTTTTTTATCATAGTAAATTAATAAATGGCACTACCACCTATAAAATTAACCAAGTTAGAATCATGGGGATTATTCCTGGCCATCTTCCTCTCCAAACCCCTCATATCACTTATGGCATGCTCTCGTCAGTTCTGCCTGAAACAGAACCCAATTTCATGATTCATAACTGTGCAACCTGGCTTTCACAGAACAATCTGTTGTACGGTAGACATAAGACAAAAGACACAACTGGAAAAAGGAACAAAGCCTGAAGGGATTTAAATAATTGACCTATAGAGTAAAACCTTTAAATGTGTGTATAAAGAGATAAAATATATCTACACACATTTAAAATTAGCAGAATATCAGACACTAAGGTAACCAGACTTGAAAAAGATCCTAGAATTAATAGATATTAAAATATCATCTTTGGAATTAAAAATTCTATGAATTATTTTAATAAAAAATTAAACAAAGCTGAAGAATTCAGTCATAAAATAGGCCAAACTATCCAAAGTTCATGAAGCACATTGAAATAGAGAGGTGAAACATATAAATGTTTTCCCTAAGTGCCCATTTCTGCCTCTTTGCTCATCTTTTAGCTCCAAATGTGATACTTACATGATACATCCTGTTTTATAATTCTGTTCAGAATGACATACTTGGCCTGGTAGTTTCTAATGATAGTAATATTGGTAATAGAAAAGTGGGAAGATAAAATATTCAGAGGCATTCTAACTTTCCATAACATGCTCACTAACACACACAAAAAAGCTGTCACCTTTGCTGCCTACATGAAGACCAAGTCAAAACAATCATCTTGAACTGTGTTTTACTCAAATATGCATACTTTCTAAATCATACTATAAATTCCCTACTTCTTGTAATAGAAAAAGTGGAAAGATAAAATATTCAGAGGCATTCTAGCTTTCCATAACATGCTCACTAACACCAAAAAAAAACCTGTCACCTTTGCTGCCTACATGAAGAACAAGTCAAAACAATCATCTTGAACTGTGTTTTACTCAAATATGCATACTTTATAAATCATACTATGAAATCCCCAACTTCTTCAGGTTTATTTTTTTGACTGAAAATGCAAATTGTATTTTGAAAGCAATTTTTCTTCAGTATTAAACATTTTATTTCATAGTTTTTAATGTTTATTTTTCAGAGATACAGAGACAGAGCATGAATGGGTGAAGAGCAGAGAGAGAGGGGGACACAGAATCCAAAGCAGGTTCTGGGCTCTGAGCTGTCAGAACAGATCCCGACATGGGGTTCAAACCCATGAATTGTGAGATCGTGACCTGAGTCAAAGTTGGATGCTTAACCATTTGAGCACCCAAGCGCCCCAGTATTAAACATTTTAAATATCTCAGAATAAAAATAAGGACACTGCAAGCTCAAATTCCAAATATTATTTTAGTATTTTTTAATATTTAGTGATAATTTTATAATATACTCATGTTAGCTTAGTATCTAATTTTCTTAAAAGTTCAGAAAATTATGTATTATTGTCGGCATTTATTAGGATGGCATATATTTAGTTAACCATTTATTAAAAGGAGAATTAAGTTAATTTTAGATTGATAGTAGATAGGTGATAGGTAGGTAGGTAGGTAGATAGATAGATAGATAGATTTTCTTTTCTTCATTGGATCCTCAAAATGGTAGAGCTCAAATTTATTTACAAGTACTTTTTTTCCCTAAATTTTAGCATATCATGTATCCTTTTTTTAATGTTTATTTACTTTTGAGACAGAGAGAGACAGAGGGAGAGCAGGGGAGGGGCAGAGACAGAAGGAGACACAGAATACGAAGCAGGCTCCAGGCTCTGAGCTGTCAACACAGAGTCCGACACAGGGCTCGAACCCATGAACCATGAGATCATGACCTAAGCCAAAGTCAGACGCTAAACCAACTGAGCTACCCAGGCCCCTCACATATCACATATCCTTATATCAACTAAATATCAAAGGATTATTAGAGAAAAATTATGCTTCTTATACTTTTGGCAAGAAATGATTTCACAGTTTTGGGTAATTCTATTTCAGGAAAACACATGCAAAAGTAGAATTAAGGAGCAGGGAGGATTTTATTAGTTTCTGACTTTCTTAGACCTGCCAAAATATGTTAGCTTTGCCCAATAACAGCCAACTCAATTCCTGAAATAAGGGAGCTTTAGAGTTTTCATTATCAGCAATATGTAAAGTTCAAAGATGTTATTTTTGTTCTAGATTAAATGTATAAGCTACTGTCAATTGGATGTTCTGGATGCTCCTTTGTTACTTTGTATCACTGTTATGACATAGTTTTTGGTGTGTTTTCCTAATTAGCACCCTGTGCATTTGTATAGCTTGGAAAATTGCCTTCAACCCATGTCCACTTGGTTAGGTATTTGTCATGAGAGTTTAGTCAGTTCCTTCCCAAGGAAACTTACTTTGCCAATTTTTTTTATTTCTTCTACTCACACAGACAGCTGACTGTGCCATAGCTGGAATTGTTTCCTGGAGCCACATTGGCACAACCCCACTTGCTGGGTATTCCCAAAACTTAAACACATTTCCATGTTGAACATCTTTTTTAGATCTCTTAAATACTTTTATAATGGAAAATGAAAGTTTGGTTTGCCACAGAATCTTTGGACTCAAAATATAGTTCTAGGCTACTGATACTTCCTAGGATCCAATTCTATAAAAAATTCTGTATCTTTAGGCTTGGACATTACCAATAGATATATGTGATATCTATACTGGACTCTATGGATGCTTTCAATAAATGAAGACGGGCACAATACTGACAAAAAAGTCTAAAGTAAGAGGAAATGAGAATGCTATAATGGATTTATTATGGAAGACCAGATAACCTACTACCTGATTATGTTCTCTTGGAGTGTTCAAATATTCTTTTCATTTAAGATAGTAAGGAATCTGCTAAGGGACATAGCAACATCTCTGAGAATCTTGATAATGGCTATTGTCTGCATAGTGTGATTCTCAGTAGGAGGAAAATAATATGTACTAACTAATAATCAGCAGATAAGGTGGGATTTGGGAAAGGCAAACCAGGTGACAACATTCTACCTTTGGAGGCAAGCTGGACAAAATTAATATGTAGTGGGTGGTGTGACCTGAGTGTTTTTCAAGATAAATTGATCTTTAGGACACTGTGATAATAACTAAATAGATTATTATTTTCCTAAAAGGGAGATAGACAGCCAACTTTGGTATATTTTTATTTATATGATGCAAAGCTGGTGAGCAGCTATGGTAATGGAAAAGACTGGTCTTTCTTCCAGTTTTCAAATCTAATGTACTTCAAAAATCTAAATAATGCCACAAATCTATAACCTGTTGTTTAAAAATTGTGACCAGGTATGTGACCAGAAGACATGAGTAGACACTTTTTCAAAGAGGAAC